GAGAGGGAGTAAAGTTTGTTTTAGTCAGACAGTGGGATACTGAAGTTTAAGACCTTTAAGAGCCACCAGATCTTGATGGAAAGGTCTAAGATATCACCTTCAAGGTGGCGAAGAAGAGAGTTTGTTAGAGGTGATAGTTGAAGAAATCAGCAGGCTGTGTGTGGCATACACTGCTTATATAGACAGTGAAGTCACTTAGGATGGTGGCAGGACTCAAGGTGGGAAATAAGTCTGATCCAGGTACCTGATCCATGCATGAGGGGGAGGGACCAAACAGTGTTGTGTAACAAATTACTACAATCTTAGTGACTGCAAACAATACTTGTTTATCACTTTCTAGTTGCTGCAAGTTAGAAGTCTAGGCACAGCTTAGCTGGGTCTTCTGCTCAGGGTCTCACAAGACTGTAATGAAGGGCCATGCTCTCCCTCAAGGCTCACAGTCATCTAAGCTTATTCATGGTGTTGACAGAATACAATTTCTTGTGGTTATAAAACTGAGGCTGCCAATTTGTTGCTGGCTATCAGCCAATGGCTGCTCTCAGTTCCATAATCTGCTCCCCAGTCCTTGTCAGATGGCCTCTCATAGGTGCTTTCACAATACAGTAGTTTATATTCCCAAAGCCAGCAGTGGGATCTTACCTCAGGGAAGACCTTTTGTTAATTTTTAAAAATAACTGGTGATTGAATTCAATGCCTCACGAATGCTAGGCAAGCTATCTACCACTGAACTACATCTCTAGCCCCTGTTCTTCAGTTTAAAGGCTCATCTGGTTATGCCAGATCTCTGCAAAATGATTTCCCTTTTAATGAACTCAAAGTCAAACAATTAGAGACCTTAAAATTATCTGTAAAATCCCTTCACATTTGCCATACTCTACTATTTATAAGCAAGTAGTACATTCTACCAAAACTCATGGAAAGGGATTATGTAAGGACAAGTACATTAGGGGAACAAAAAACTTGGAGCCTTCTAGAATTTCACGTAACACAAATGAGCTTGAGTGTCAGTTTTACCAGTTAATAGAAAACTTAGTCAATACCAATTCTTTCTCAGTTACTCCAGGATTTTCTTACTGATTTCCAAATATTGTGATCAAACAATTCAGGATTTTTGTCTCTTTTGCCCCAGACTACCACATACACTCTGTGAGTCTCTAAAATTCTGTCTCGGGGTCTGTAGGGAGACAGAATATCTGGTCATTTCATTGGCAACCTGTCCATAACAGCATCCATTCCAAATTACAAACCCATATAGTACTCAGTTGCCTCCCCATGCTCTTTCAACATCACAGGAAGTTCGGGGGGGGGGGCTTCCCTCTGCAGCTAAACTATGCTAACCTGGTGTCCTGGTGTGAGGGGAGTTTCTAAGACTCCACATTTTTGAAGTAACATGGCACCACAAGTCTCCTTGCCCTTCAACTTCAACTTCACCTCCACTTTTGGGGTAGGGGAGAGAGGTAGAACATATCAGTAAATTAGCAAATGTTCCCTGATATCCTGCCACAGGACAATTCAAGACTGTTTCTCATTCTTGCTTCCAAGATCCATGGATGGGCACTCCTTGAGGGTAGTCTCTGACTCTTCCATTCACTTCTGATCCCCAAGGCTAGCACTACCTGTTGGGTTTTGGGTTTTTGTTGTTGTTGTTGTTAGTTTGTGTTTGGTACTTCGAAATGAACCCAGGGCCTTGTACATGCTAGACAAGGGCTCTACCCCTGAACTATGACCCCAGTGCTTTTGAAATTTTATTTTGTGAAAGGGTCTCACTAAGGTGCTGAGGCTGGCTTTGAACTTGTGATCCTCCTTCCTCAGCCTCCTGAGTAGCTAGGATTACAGGTGTGTGCTACCATGCCTGGCCCCATCTGTTGGATTTCAAGGATTCATTTAAATGAGAGGCATTATAAGAATTACCTGAATGAGGAAAGAGAATGTGTCCCAGGCTGTACTCAGCCTATGAGGACCTGTCAGTGACAACCCTCTCACCCTACAGCATGGTGGGCACAGCCCTGGGTTTTGTGGGTATGTGAAAAGGTGTCCTCAAGAGGAGTCTAATGTGGACTGTAACTGCCACTAAATATACTGAGTACACAGGGCATTGTTCTCAGGAGCGCCTGTCTCTAGGTGCAAGGCACACCACTGGGATTCTATTCTCAAGCTGTCTGAAGAGTAAGGATGATTGAGGGTAGGCCTGGGCCAACCTGAGTTTTGAAGCAGTAGTAGCAGCCCCAGGCTCCATGGGGCTCAAGAGAAGGGAAAGTGAAATACATCATAACCAGAATCTAATTCTGCTTTATTTCCCTAGAAGTAGAAATGAAGCCCCACGGGACATGAGAGGGCAGTTGAGGGGCTGGGTATCCTGGCCGCCTTGATATTTACTGAGTTCTTACCCCAAGTCACATGTTGCCTCAAGTACTTTATAAGACAGTTTTCTCCTTATAGGAGAGGCTATTCTGAGCCCTGTTTGCCTCTAGAGTCTTACACCACCATCTGACCAACTCTTCCCTCCTTTTCCCCCTTTAGTTCTTCCCTCTTCTCTATCCTTTCCTCTCTTCTTTCCAAGCCCAGTCTTTTCCATCATGCCTTTCACTGGTTCAACCAGCTCAGTTCCATTTGGGCAGAGAAGGGCATGGTTTGGAGCAGGCAGCAGAGCCATAAAGTAGAGGATTCCCAAAAGCCTCTACCAGGCATCACTTAAGTTCTGGTGTTGTCTAACACTGCTTGAAAGGCAATTCATGCCTTTAAAACATATATTGTAAAGTGAAAATAAGATTAAAATTAAATAATTAAAATAAAAACATCCAACAAGATCTTTGGGAGTGTTGAATTGTCACTGAAATATGAATGGCTCTTTCTCCATTTGCATTGCCTTTGAAAGAGGGGAATACATTTGGTCACTGCCTTTTCTCCTGGTTTGCTCTGTTCCTCTTTGATATAGGGAGGATTTCTGTTTATTTGCCCAGACCATTACAAATTACCTCTGGGAAGGGAAAGGACTGTGGCTTTGAGGAAATAAAAGAGGACTCTCACAGTTGAAGGGTGTCCTCACGTGGACATGAGTGAAGGCACAGGATTCTGTTCCCTCAGGCCTGCCCATCATAAACCCAGGATCCCTTCCCATAGTTCATGCCTGCACTCTCAAGCTCTGACAAACAGATATTTCTTGCAAAGAGGAGCCTACAGCTGGGATATCAGGACAAAGTCCATACACTCCTACAAGAGAGGCAGAAGTGTCACATTAGAAATAAAAAGCCAGAGGACAGGTGGACTAGGAAACACTGCAAACAGTGCTCCTAGGTCTTGGATGGACAGTTCTCCAAGGCCTCTCCTCTAGGAGTGCTGTTGGACATACTTCAGATGTGGATGGGTGTATCAATAGAACAAACAGCTAGACGTAGCCAGGAATATGATACATTCCAGGGCGGTGGGAGAGGGGGAACAAGCACAGTGGAGGAATCTGTCAAGGCACAGAGAATATCACAGCCCTAGACCTAAGTGGGCCAGCACCCCAAAGGAGCCAGTACTTACTGCCAAGAAAATGTATCAAGAAGACCAATCTTGCTGAATAGATGAGGAAGATCACCCCTCTTTTCCACAAGATAAGCAAGATACTAATCATTAAAAATTTCAATTCTATCTTTACCAAGATGTGAGTTCCCTATGTCCTGTATATTGTCATCAGCTTTTTGTTGTTCTTTTTCTTTTTTCTTTTCTTTCTTTTTTTTTTAAGAAATGTGGCATTTGGGAAACAACAGATGTTGAGCTCTTGTAGTATCAGTGTGACATATTTTTATAACATCATAAAAAATCTACCAATATGATAGAGAATCAGAAAATTCTGCTCCATTTGTGTACAATGAATCAAACAGCTTTCTACTGCCATGTGTAACTGATTAGAACTAATTAAAAAATAAATTAATAAATGCAAAACTTTTTAGAAAAGGTCTACCAATATAAGAAACTTTTCTAATGTCTCTAAGGGACCAATAAAAACACTCCAGGGAAGAAATCATACCAGAGGGGATTCTTGCTAAAAAGGCATGCTATTCAAACATGAAATGAAGATTTCAAAAGTCGTCAAACCCCACAACTGGGAATACTCTCCATTGAATCTTGGAGTCTTAAGTTTTTCCTTTGTGCCTGAGTAGGAAAAAGCTTTAAAGTTCTGTCCTAACCCTGACCTTGTAGTCCAGGGTGGAAACTGCCATTTTGCCCTAGCTGGTAATTTATTCTCTACCTTTTTGACTGGTCAGAGTTAAGTGATCACATGATAGGGCAGTCTTTGAACCATGAGATCTGGAATCAGACTGAATTAATTTCAATCTCAGCTCTACTGCATGACCCTGATACAGTACTAAACTTCTCTGGGCCCCAACAGAAAATGTAAATCCCATAAACAGCCAATCTGGAGACCCATTCTCAGCCTCCAAAAGACAATCAATAAACAAAGGCTTTAGGTAGCAGGTTCTGCTCACCTGCTGGGACTCTAGCCAGTACAATTCCCAAGCCAGTCCTCTCAGCCTGCTCCAGTTCCAGCCCAGCTAGGGCACAGCTGCAATAATTGCTAGCTCTTCTGAGCCCCATGCATTGCTTGTGAATTTCAGAGAGATGCCATCTGGACCAGCAAAATATTTTCAGTTACACAATGAAAGCAGCAACTGGGTGAGCTGATACTGCCAAGATTCTTTTGTCTTCCCTATATCTCAAAAATCAGAGACTCCTAAATCATGCAACACCCCAGCATTGTGTAGATGAGCTCAAGCTTTGTGTTTACTGTATTGGGAGACTGCACAGAATGCAGGAGGCTCCCACACTTACAGATTTGTGGTGCTAAAATAGGCCCCAACTTTCAAACCTGTTAGTTTTACCTGAGTAGGTTCTCACTGCTACCCCATTAGCACCAGAAACCACTATACTTCTTTGGTCAAAATCTATGGATACAATGTGATTCCCTAGCTAGGACATTGCCGCAGTCTGGCTGGGCACAATTCAGGAGCCACTTGTCAAGCAGGAACGAACTTTATTTTTTGAACACATGCCACACCACGTGAGCTCTCCAGGAATTCCCCAAGAGCCCAACTGCCACCACGGGCTCTTTGGGGAATTTGAGCACCTCAACTGGAACCCTTAGGTCCTGCTCTTGAGGCAGATTGGCTGGGTCGTGTGGGCGGAGCCAAAAGAGTCCCCCAAATGAGCAGCTCCGTGGTCTGAAAGGGCAGGGAAACAGCCCAATGAGCACTACCGCAGAGGAGCCAATCAGCTGGAAGTTTGCTGGGGCCCGCTTCCGCTTCGGCTCTCAACAGGACATACCCTAGAGGACCTTTGTGATGGAGGCCCTAAGGGCCCAAAGCGCCTTTTTCTTCTTTTCAGGCTGGAGGCTTTTCACTGCCCATTTCAGTCTGTAGTCTTCAAGGCTCAGGCCAGGATCTCCATGCCACTCCTTACTTCTTAAGGCCTTCCCTGGAAAATACAGATATGTCTTTACTCCACTATTAGTTGTAGAGTGCTTTGCAGATTACAAATCTCTCTCACATGAATTATCTCACCCCAATGAGATAGACTGAAAAATAATATATTTTGGGAGGAGATTTTAAGTGGTACCTATCTTCTAGATGAGAAGATTGAGGTTCAGAGAGGTAAAGTGACTTGCTCAGAGTCAAATATCCAGTAAACATTGGAGTCAGTGCTCAATCCCAGGTTTATAACATTTTCTGGGCCCCACCAGAAAATGTCCTGCTCCCCCTGTAGAGGATCAGCTATCATTATCTGGATAGCTCATTTGTTTGTGTGCCTTTCTGCTCCCGCCCCCACACACACCTTTCCTTCACAGACAATGGATAAAATCTCACAGCTTAACAAAATCTAAAGTTCCTATGTCAATAATCCTATAGTGAACCTGAATTGGTGATGCCAGGTTTGAAGGATGGGGCAGCAGGAAAGCAGGTACCATGGTCACAGCAGAGTCCCTCTGCCACCTGCTTTCCTTTCATCATGAGGGTAATATTCTATCTCATCTATCAGAATAACCACTGCATTTTAGGAAGAAAGCAGGAGGCAAGTGGCTAAAGAACCTGATAAAGACTCACTCAAAGAAGTCTGGAAGATAGGCTCCAGATATCCCACTTCTACTCATGCACAGAGTTGCACACGTAGCCACACTCTCCAAGATGTGGAGTCAATGTCTCCCAGGCTGTCAATGGAAGGGCTGGGCTGAGACCCCATGTCAACCAATTCCCAGGAAGGTTCAATAACAGGAGACAATTTTTACAGCCACAAGTAAAAAATGCTGGGGTGATAAGAGAAAGGTGTTTGGCAAGGCATAGCATGAACCAAATATGTTCTCCAACTAGGTACCTTTTAGAGAAAGATGTGGGAACAAATAACCACTTGACTATGAGAATCAGGTATGTGGTTTCTGAGATGGGAAGTGGTGGTAGGAAGTGGAGAAAAGGGAAGCATGAAGTGACACTCAGCAGTTTCACTGAATCTTTGTTTCTGTTCCAATAAGGGCTAGTGGGAACAGATCCTTTGAGATAAAAGTAAGGTCAGTGCATGGGGGATGTTAACACAAGTGAACAATCAGATTAAGCCTTCACATAGTCCTCCTGCAAGTCAAGCGCTACATCTACCTGGAGTTAATATTTCCCATTTGGGGCTGAGTGGTGATGGTAGCACATCAATGTGAAGATATTTAATGCCACTGGAATTTTCACTTAGAAGTGGTTAAGATGATGACTTTAACATGTGTATGTGTATGTGTGTGAGTGTGTGTGTGTGTGTGTCTGTCATGGTTTAGATATGAGGTGTACCTCAAAAACTCCTGTGTTGATGCTGGAATATTCAGAGGTAAAATGATATCATGAGAGTTGTAACCTAATCAGTCCATCCTAATTTGAATGGACTGAGTAGTACCTACCTGTAGGCAGATGGGGCATGCCTGCAGGAGGTGGGTCATTGATGGCGTGCCCTATAAGGGTGCATATTCCCTGCAGCTCATTCCCTTTTCTCTTTCTGATTCCTGGCCACATGAATGGAGAAGAGCACTTTTCTACCACACCCTTCCATCATTATGTTCTGCCTCATCTTGGGCTCTGAGAAATGGAGTCAGTGTACCATGGACTGAGCCAAAAATCAACTTTTCCTATTCTAAGTTGCTCTTATTGTTTTTGTCATAGTGATGAAAAGCTAAAAAATATAAAGATATAGATGTATGCATAAATCTTCATCTATATCTAGCCATAATAAGATAGGATCTGTCGGGAGCTTCCCTGGATGCAGACACCTTTAAGTCTTGATGCACCAGGTTCTGAACAATTATTGCCTTCAGGGTGGCATGACAGTGTCAGGTTGCAGTAACTTGGGCATTATCCCAGCTCCAATAGCAAGGCATGGCTCCAGGAGTAGGCGTCACCCACTGGGGTTGAGTTACACTCACCCATTCCTTTGTAATCCTACCCCTTTGCCCTTTTTGAGATAGAACGTCCCATGGAACTCCCCTCGTGTGTTCCCTATATAAGAATAAAGAATTCCAGTGGCTCTCTTTCTTTCCACAGACCCTTAAGATCGGAGATCCCACATGGATTTTGAAAAAATACTTTTGTATATTTGCATGCTTTCTTTGTCATTTTCTTAAGTTATTGGAATAGTCAGATTTTGTGAACCCAGCATTAGGTTGCCAGCTAGGATAGATGGCGATAAGGATCTATGACACAATCTGAGTTGTGGTAATCCCTAATGTCTCACAGGCACCAGGACAGCAAGTGTTGTGGGAAGTTCTCACCTATTTGCCTTTTCCCAGGCCTGTCCTGAGGACAAGGACCCTATTAAAAATGCAGTTCTTAGCATTTCTGGTCCTCCCTGCAATCCCTAGCATTCTTGGAGGTTCTCCTGAGTCAGAAACTGAAGTCTAGGCTATAGACTGTTTCTCAGCACTGTAGACCTTCCATCTGTCCCCTGGTCACCACTTGTCTCCCCACTCTCTCAGCTAGACTCCTGTTCCTGAAACTCCTCAGAATTAGAATTAAGTTGTTCTCATCTTTTGCTTGAGAAGATATATCTTTTTGCTTCTTTCACCTCTAGCATCTGAGTACCCAGGAAAAACTTTCCCTTTAAGCTCTCTTATTTCTGTGGAAGACTTTAATTGATCCTTCCCTACCCATTCTATTTGCTTATTTTTTTTTCCACAAATACTGTTAATATAGGCATTGGCTGAGCCTCCACCTGTCAATTCACATGTACTCACCCTCACTGCCTACTCTCTAGCTTTGCTCACCGTGCTCCAGCAAATATAACCCAGTTTGATTCAGTTTGTCCCTGAGTCTAGCAGGGTACAAGACAGGTCCCAACATACATGTCACTTCTATTTTCCCCAAACTAGACTCAATAACAGTCAAATATCAAAAGTAGAAGGTAAGAAAAAAATCTAGTGATTTTGTTTCCAGGGATACTATAGTTATATACCAAGAAAGTCATATATTGTCTCCCTTTTTCCTCAGAGACAGCCTCCCAGCATGTTTATCAAGACGTAGTTAGGTCCCTCAGGGTGTGGGTCCACCTAGAGAAGGAATTGAGTACTTGTGGATTTCTGTACTTAAGGTAGAATACTTCCAACACCCACCAGCTCTGAGAATACTTTCCCAATCTTGGGAAATCTAGCAAAAAGTCTGTACATTAAAACTAACATTCCTAGAACACATAAGCAATGGCAGACACTTCCAGATTCAGCTCAAGCACCACATGTGAAGTGATTAGTCACCACAAGCATCATCCCACACAGCTTCCAAATGTCACTTTATCAATGAAATCATATTAACAACTGGGTGAGCAAGATGTGGCAGGGATGTTAGCAGCCTTAGATAGATATGGACACTTCACATGGTAGATCAATCTTGAAAAGACTCAGGAGTCTGCCATATTAAATTAGTGTTCAGTGATATGGTAGTCAGGAGCATGCCACACGTTCTCTAGAAATAAGGGACAAATGATGACATGTCACACCTCCCACTACTAAGAACAAAGCACAAGGCCATGAAGGCCTATTTGGGTCTGGTATCAGGGAGTCAAGAGCTGTGGTAACCCCACTTACTATCTCTTCCCATGATCAGGAATTTGTGATGCCTGCCCCCACAACTTTGGGTTCTGTAGTTAGACCAGCACTGTCCAATATGGTAACCACTAGCCACATTTGACTATTTAAATCACGATAAAATACAACTACATATTAAGTTCCTCAGTTACAATAGCCACATTTCAAATACTCAGTAGCCACATGGGTCTAGTGGTCCTTATTGAACAGTGTGGGCTAGGCACTCTGGTTTCCCAAATGGGAATGATTACACCAGGAGTCACAGTAAGAGTTCCATTAACTACCAAGCATGGCTGACAAGTGAATTACAAGTCATGGGCACCTTGGGTTCTTCATATTATGGACCCCACAAGCATGAGAAAGAGTCATCCATCCTATCAGGAGTCATGGGCCCTGGTCATCAGGAGGAGGCAGGTATGTTCTCACATAATAGGAATAGAGGGATAGGTTTGGTAACCAGGTGATCCACTCAAATGTGTCTTGGTGATCCCCTGATTTCCATAATAAATTGATAAGGGTATGTTCCATAACCTGGGAACAGGGGTCAAGGGGCTCAGAACCTTCAGGGATGAAGATCTGAGTAGCTGGCTGAGATGGAGGGGACTATATTGCAGAATTCCCCGTGGGACTGATTGAAATTTCTCCTTCAACTATTTAACAACTCCACTGTTTTCCCAAATCTACTCCCCTTACCATGTTGTCTGTAATTTTCTAGATTAAATCCTGTCATACCATGTCAAATTGTAAAAGGAAACAATTGAGATGATGAAATATAAATCAGCCACACCCCTTTTCCAGAATGCCTTTGCCCAGGTAAGTCTGGGGACTTCTAGTTATGGAGGTGTGCCTCCTTGTGCACTGAGGGTTGGGGTCCCTTCAGCTACTGTTTGGTGGTACTGAGTGTGCCAGATACCTGCCTGAAAGAGGGAAGCATATTCTGGAAAATTGTGGTCCAAGAAATGTGATTATCCACTTAAGGAATCTTGTGCCTTCAAGGCCGCCTCACTTCATTGGGTGGAGGGTATCCTGGCCCTAACATGCTCAGGGCCTTGGCCAGCTCTCTCCTGGTAGGGGCGATGGCTTGGTACTATAGAATGCTTCCCATGGGCAAGGGCCAGCCAACTAGCCATGCATGGTAGCCCTCCTCCACGAGCCCCTTCTTGGAGCTGCCTCCAAGCATATTGCTCCCTTGGGGTGACTGGGGACACTGTCTCATTGGAAGATACAAGCATCTGCTTGTTTGAGGGGCTGACTTCTGCCTTGTCTTGCCAGGAGGATGCAATCTCTGGCACCTGGGTGAGGCCCAAATCTCACTGTGTGGCTTTGAGATCTGCATGACTCAGCCACCAGGCTGTTGCTGAGGACCTGGGGAGGTTGCTTGGTTACCCTGGAGATGGCAGACACATTATACTGTGATGATGTTGACCTCTGCTTCTGCTCCCTAACAGCAAGCAGTGTGCGCCCCGAGCTGCGTGTCCTTCCTCACTGGGAGGAGGCCTGACACCACGCGCCTGTATGACTTCAACTCCTACTGGAGGGTGCATGCAGGAAACTTCTCCACCATCCCCCAGTACTTCAAGGAGAATGGCTACCTGACCATGTCGGTTGGAAAAGTCTTTCACCCTGGTACTGCTCCATGCCCAAAGTCTGAGTTCTCTTGTTCTGTGCTGAGTGTGGGAATCCCCTGCTGGGCATGAGGCTGTCTCTGCAGACACCTTTTCTGCCTGGATGCTTACACTGCTGCCTTTCTAGAAAAACCACTTGTCAGCTTGGCTTCAGTTCTCAGTCAAAGTGAAAAGAGGGTAGAAAGAGTCTGGCTCCCTTTCAGAGGCTGGAGGTGGTGCTCTGGGGCCTCCTCTGGCTCCTCGGGTGGTGGGAAGGGCACATTGGGTGGGGAGGTGGCAGTGCTGGGTGTGAGTTCAGCTCTGGACTGACTCTCTGCCCTGTGAGGTCCTTGTCTGTGAAGGTATGGGTGGGGCATGCACATCTCAGGAATTTCTTTGTGAATAGTGCTGCTTGTAAACTTGCAGGGACAAACCTCCCAGGCAAATGGATGGCAGTTTGGGGGTGCCTACTTCCCACTTTTAGTGAATGTCATCAGGAATGTAAGCTACCAACTGTGTTTATGCCCAGGAGCCAGCAAGTCTAGGGATCAGAACATATACTTTATCAGTTACCTAAGGTGGTTCTGCCTCTCTTTTAGCACAATTCTTGGCCTGCTCTCTGCTACCTTTTCCCATCCTAGGTCTCTAGGGCAGCTGCCAGAAACCTTCTGAGCCAATCTTCAAGGTCCTTGACTTCTTTCTCTTGGTCTCAAGATCGACTGTTGGGTTGCTTGTGGGCATATGTTCTGCTTTCTCACGTATTCACCCTTACCTACAGCTGCCCAGACTAAAGCCCTACACAAGAGTGATGAATGTGTTCCTGCAGTCATGTAATCCACATCTTCACTGAGTATTTTCCATGTCTCAGGACCTATGCTGGACCCAGCAGCTACCTCAACATGGTGCCAGGTAACCAACCGTAGCCAGAAGAGACCTGTGATATCATAGTTCCTGTATTTGGGAATGCCACAGAGAACTAGCCTGATATACCTTCAAGGCTTCTGTGTATATCCCAGTCAGACTTCAAGGGGATAATTCCTGTGGTCCCTCTGTTAGGACCCCTGACTTTCCTGTCTCCAAGGGCTTCCTGTACCTCAAACTCTGAAGCCTGTACCAGATGGAGGCAATACTCCCTCTAAGCTGGTACCCCAGGATTCCACTGAAATCCCTCCCACCCAGTTACCAGGCCTCATGAGTCAAGGCTACCTTGATTTACTCCTAGAGAGTGAACATGTGAAGGTGCAGCACTTGTCCCCACCCAGTTCAAGGGACTCATGTACTCTGAAAAGTACCTCTCACTGAGTTCCTCAGGAGTATCTCAAAATCCTAGCACTGTTAGCTAGAGGGAGGAAGGAAGAGAGAGCAGGCCAACCCTCCAAACATCATAGGTGCTCAGAAATCTTGAGCATTTATAGTGGACATGAAGTATGCTTTGATTACGGATAGGTGAGGGGTTCCTTTCACCATTGTGTCTTAGGAAAGCACTGTTGACTCAGAACACATTCCAGTCCCATTTTGTAGACCAGATCCATCAAAGACTGATAAATTTGCAGACCCAATGTTTACTGTATACTCAGCCAGTAAGGTCTATGCTTGACTGTGCAAGATGAAGAGAAAGCAGATAAAATTGGAACCTTGGGACTTAATACCAGAGCGTGGTATCTTTTTTAGCATCATATATCCCAGACATGAAGCTGAAAAAGTTGGTGACCAAAAACTATCAACAGGTGCAAGGAAAATAAAGGTAAGAAAGGCAAGATGGGAAAGGCAAAAGACCAAAGTAAAGGATCAGTAAAGGTGTAGCCTAACATGATGGAAACCTTTTAGAAAATACACTATTTATTTCAGCCAAATGTCATAGGAAAAACCTTTGTCCCCTACCTTCACCCAAGTCAGCAAAGGCACTTGGGTGCTTAGAGTGCTACCACTGATAACAAATAATGACACCCTCCCCACCTATGAAGTTTCAGAAGAGGCCTAATAGGGAGCTAGTCCTTTCACCTCTAGCACATAGTAATAAGCCCTCATTACCCAAGACGTCAGTGTAGAAAACATGATGGGCAATAAAGAGACATCTGTAATCCTCCCAGCTAGGGAGTTACCAGTGCAGGCCCAGCTCAGAAAGAGAAAATTCACCCTTACCCATAAGTAACAAGGAGTTCACCACTGATTTCATGGATCAACAGAGGACAAAGAAGGTTAGGGTTAAACCACCATACTCAACAGATAGTAATGTAGTGGAATCCATCTCCTTTCCTCTACTGTGGTGATGTCATGGTATGACAGCTAAAGCAAAGATTAAGTAAAATCTTGATCCTAATAACATCATAGAAAAGTATTCTGATTTCAATTAAAAAATCACTCATAGCAAGATGCAGGAAGGTCTTGAGATGAATGAAAATATATAGTCAATATCTACACTGATGCCATAAAATAGAAGTGTATGTCAAAAAAAGTTAAAGCAGACATCATAAAAATGCTTCACTTGGCAATTAAGAACTCACTTGAAAGAAACTAAAATATAAAGCTTTAGTAAAAAAGAGAAGATATCAAAAATCAAATGGCAATTTTAGAATTGAAAAACATAATAGCTGAAACTGAAATAAACTCAATAAGGGAATCAATGGCAGAATGCAGAGGACAGGGGAGAGTGAACTGAAGACACAACAATATAAAGTTCTTACACTGAAAGTCTGAGAAAAGTTATACTGTGAGAAAAAATGAACAAGCTGCAGGGACCTGCAGGAGTATAAAAAAAGATCTAATATCTTTGTTATAGGGTTTCCAGAATAAAAGGAAAAAGAAGGTAGGATTTAATGAGCATTTGAAGAGCCCAGCATGGTGGTACACTCCTATAATCTCACTAACTCAGAAGACTGTGGCAGGAGGATTGCAAGTTTTTGGACATCCTCAGCAACTTACCAAGAACCTCAGCAATGTAGACGCTGTATCAAAACAAAAAATAAAAAGGTCTGGAGATATAGGTCAGTACACCTTGGGTTCCATGCACAGTATAGAAAAACAAAGACAGACAAAGAATTTTTAAAAAATGGGGCCAGGATTGGGGTTCAGTGGTAGAGTGCTTGCCCAAAACATGTGAGGAGCTGGGTTCACTTCTCAGTACCACATAAAAATAAATAAAATAAAGGTATTGTATCCAACTACAACTAATATATATATATATAAAGAAACAACTGGAATACTGGCTTCTCTGAGAGACCTCTCCAGCCCCTAACCCAGAGGTAGCCATTCTTTCCCTCTTAACAAGTATCTAACTAATGCTGCCTAGCTTCAGATTCCAGGATTCAAAGGTAAGCCTTAAAGATGACCCTAGCAGCCCTGGGGATAGCACAGAGATGAGTATATATCTCCAGAGAGCCCCTGCTAGGACAGTACTGCTGACTTCACTCTGCCTTGTGTCATGATGCCATGCATGCAGACTGCCCTTAACAGCAGGCTGTGCTCACACCCCTGCTAACAGATCCGGAGATGCCCTGTGAGCAAATGTCCTGGAGACACATCCCTATGGGCACCCACATAGCCGTCTAAAGCAACAGAAACCAAAGCACCTCCCAGGAAGCCTGCTGCAGCGGGACAGGGCATGGCTCTGCCTATGGGAAGATAGCAGCCGGGCCCTTCCTGGAGCTGCTCAACCCACACCTGCCCTCCAGAGCATCCACTGTGGGTGCTCATTCATCTAAACAGTCAGTATGGACTGCATGACCTACTGTGTGCCAGGTACCAGGAGGACCCAACAGGGTATGCCCCATGCAGACCCCTGAACCGGGAATCCTGGCTCCACACCACCCTGTCACACTGGTCAGGACTGTCAAGTCAGGCCCAACCTGCTGTCCAACCCCGCTTCCTTCCTGTCCCTTCTGTGGGCGTTAGTCCCAATAAATCTGTGGCTCTGCTCGCTCCCTCGCATGCTCTGCTTCCTGGACCCAATGTGACACAGCTGGTTCTGGACTGCTGCAGGTGGTAATCTGGGGTCTTGGTGCAGGATCACCCAGTATCTGCCTAGCTGGTGATGAAGACCCCTCAACAGGCACGTAGGGAGTGTGCAGACAGACCCAGGCATAAGGGGGCAGCCCAGGTGCCAGACCTTTGGTGTTAGAATTTTACTGGGATGGCTACCTTGTGCAGAGGAACCTTCTAGCAGGTGAGGACACCTAGGCACGTGTAATGCATGGGAAGGCAACTGCCAAGACAATGGAAATGATCAGTGGTGATTACATTGTTGGATGACTCCCTGTGGATTAAGGAAGGCAGATGGCAGTTAACCTATGACTAAAGACTAAGCAGAAACACAAGCTTCTCCTCTAGGGTCATAAAGTAGCTCCCATGTCAGGCACAGTGAACTGCAGAAGTTGAATATCAAAAGCACACTTTGAAAAGGAGGCCGGCCTCCAAAGATGGCTGGATGTTCAACCAAGGCAACTCAGTCTTGCCAAGGGCAGAAGCACTGTGCACAGACCTGCCTGTCAAACACGGGGAGCAGGGACAAGCAGAAGATCCCAAATGTCAGACTCCCCAAATGTCTCTGAAACTTGTGAGCCTACAGTATGACTCACCCCGCCCCCACCTCACGCCATTCCCAAGGGAGTTATAGGAATCTTTTCCCCCACAGCAGACCTCCTTCCTAGGAGCTGTCCTCACTGTATCTGGCCGGCAGGGAGGGTGTCCAACCATCCCAGCTGGCTGTGGGGCCTGCAGTATTACAACCAGGAGAGGGCTCAGAATAGCAGGATGGGGCCAACCTGCTGCCAGATGTCTGAGCAGAGTTAGGACAGTACAGCACAACACGGACAGGGCTGCTGGGCCTGATAAGGGAGACACAGAAGACACCTATAGATGAAGGAACAGCACACACCTCTACCAATGGCCAGTCGGAGTCCCTAGAGGATAGGACACTAAGGGAGCCTGACCAGGGGTTCTGAAAACTCAGATAAGGATTCCCTAATTAGACACATAACCTAAAGCCCTGGCAAGGCCCCTAGGATGCTGCAAACTCACTACTGGGATGGATCCTAGAAACCAGGAAACACCACTGTTCTAGGAAGAACAGCCTTGAAAAGCTAGCAGGGCCATGGCAGACAGTAAATAAAAGAAGGGAGACAAGGGTGAAAAGAGTGGGTCTGCTGGAACTGGACAGACAGGTGAAGCCAGAAGACTTCCCAGGGGAGTATGTGCCCCAGAGGGCTCAGAAGACACATCCTGTACCAAGAGGTTCAGGGATGTGCT